TTATAATGTGAAGGATCTTCGCATGGGACATCCTTCTCCATGACCCAACTAAATCAGGAATTTATGAGTAACAACCCACGCGTCCCACAGTTCACTTTATCAAAATGGCATCCACTATCGACTGGCATCATCGATTAGGCCATCCATCGTATTCTATTTTACATCACATTATCAATTATTTCAATTTAAATATTCCTAAGTCTATTTCTTTTCATTGCAATTTGGTGATTGTAATAAAATTCATAAATTACCATTCTCTCATAACACCTTACAATCTAAAGGCCCTCTTGATATTCTTTACAATGATGTTTGGATTCCCCCCATCCTCTCTTATGATGGCTACAAATACTACATAATATTTGTTGATCATTATTCCAAATATGTGTGGTTTTATCCACTCAAAGATAAAAATGAGGTCACTGCCATTTTTATTGAATTCAAACTCAAAGTTGAAAATTTCTTCAAACGATCCATCATTACTCTCTTTAGTGATAATGGTGGTGAATATATTTGCTTACATCACACTCTTGAATCTCATGGAATCGCTCATTTAACTCCCCGACCTACAAGCCCAAGCATAATGGCTACTAGGAGCTGCATCATCATTGAAACTAGACTTTCACTTCTCATTCACTCCTCTATGCCACGTAAATATTGGTCTTTTTCTTTTGCTAGTGCTTGTTGCCTCATAAATTATATGTCAACTACTACACTTCATCTTTAATCTCCCTATTATAAACTTCATGGTTGCACATCCGACTTTTAAATTGCATAGTTTTGGGTGTCTTTGATGCCTTTGGCCCCGTCCCTATACCACAAATATACTTGATCCCCGCTCCCCTCCTTGTATTTTTGTTGGATATTCTGCCACTCAAAGTGCTTATTATTGCCTCTATCCCACTTTGAAGAAGATATATGTCTCTTGTCATAAGAAGAGATGTCTCTGGTCATGTTAGATTCATCGACCATGAGTTCCCCTTCTCCACCTCGTCATTTGCCATATCTCCACACACATCTAATGATGCAGAAGAATGGTGTGCTTTCCAACTTCCCATCTTACCCATTACATTACCCATGTAACCCCTATAAAATACATCTACACCTTCTATTTCCCCATCAAAAGCCATTAATTCTCCCTCCACGACACCTTCGCTCTCTTCTACTCCCTCATCACCTCTTAATCCTCCATTTCCTCCCCGACCACAACCTCCCATCACAAGACTTCAAAACGACATTCATAAACATATTGATAAAATGAATCTCCATGTCTCTTTCCAACCCACTTCCACGGAGCCTACTACTATAATACAAGCATTGAAAAACCGGGTATGGCATGAAGCTATGCAAGATGAGTAAAATTCTTTACTCAAGAATCATACATGGGAGCTTGTTTCATCTTCTCCATCTCAAAACCTTATTGGATGTAAATGGGTTTTTCGTACCAAATATAATCCTAATGGCTCTATCGAGTATTGTAAAGCCCGTCTAGTTGCTAAAGGATTCCACCCAAGACTCGATCTTGACTACATGAAACCTTTAGCCCTGTGGTTAAGTCGATCATAGTTTGAATGATTATCTCTCTAGATATCACACATGGTTGGTCTATTCATCAAGTTGACATTAACAATGCTAACCTCTAAGGTTCTCTAGTGGAGGATGTCTTTATGGTTCAACCACCCGTTTCATTAGTCAAACCTATCCTAATCATGTATGAAAACTCTGTCAAGCTCTCTATCGTCTCAAACAAGATCCACGAGCTTGGTACAATGAACTCAAATCCTGTATACTCGGTTGTGGTTTAATAAGTTCCATTTCCAACGCCTCACTCTTTACTTTACCCCATAAAAACAATCACATCTTTCTTTTTGTTTATGTTGATGATTTCATCATTACCGGATCAAATCACACTCTTCTAAACTCATTTATTTCTCAAGTCTCAAATCATTTCTCACCTAAGGATCTTGGCACTCTTTCTTATTTCCTTGGTGTGGAAGCCTTACTTTACCCTTACGGCATTTTTATTAGCCAACATAAATACATACAAGACCTCCTCACACATACTCACATGAAAGCCACCATACCTGTTCGTAACCCCATGGCTTCTCATCCTACACTTACATTGCATAACGGAACCCCTTTGGCCAACCTAACTGAATAAAGGATAATTATGGAAAGTCTACAATACTTAACTTTAACTAGACTAGATGTTTCTTTTGTTGTGAACAGATTATCTCAATGCATGCACAAGCGGTCTGAAGAACATTGGACAACTCTTAAATGACTCTGATGTTACCTGGTGGGCACATCTACACAAGGTCTATTGCTACGTCGTGATTCCCCCACTACTCTTCATGCCTTCATAATATGTTTCCTAGGCCAGTGATAAAGATGACTATATTTCAACGATTAGTTACATTGTTTATTTGGGTCAAAATCCTATTCATTGGAGTTCACGTAAGCAACGCACTTTTGCTTGTTCATCTACAAAGGTCGAATATTGAGTTGTTGCTGCAACTACAACAGAGGTATTACGATAACCTACTTCATGAGCTACACCATCTACCCATCACAACATTAGTGATATATTGTGATAATATGGGAACTACATATGTTGCAGCCAATCCTAAGTTCCACTCAAAACTGAAGCACCTAGCTCTTGATTATCATTTTGTTCATGTGAATGTCCAAAGTCGGAAGTTGCTTTGTTTCATACATTTCCAACAAGGATCAACTAGTTGATGCTCTTAATAAGCCATTTGCAAAAACACGGTTCAAAGAACTCATGTCCAAGATTGGTCTCCCTATTTGATCGTCTATATTGCAAGGGCATGATAGAGATACTCACAATCAACCCTACACTAATTGATATCTCTCATAATCTTGATTGTAAATACCTTGTAAGTTATGTTTTAGTTTTATAGGTTATAATTCTTTCAAGTAAGTTACGATTTAGTAGTAGGTTACGATTTAGAACAATAGGTTATGATTACCTCAAGCTGTATATATACATCAACCCCTACAAGTAATTATACAATCAAGCTTTTCCACTCAATCACATTCTTACTTCCATGATAAATGTGTTACACTAAGTTGTTAGGACGAAATTAAACGACTTAACATGTTCTATCGATAAAGATGGAAAATCTAATACAAAAGATAAAACGTCTTATTAGCACATGTCCAGCTCAAGCCTTACGGTCTTCTATCTTTTATTTTAGCCCATTTGAGCAATTATAACGTTTTAACAATTTAACCTAATGCCACAATTCCTCCCCTCTTATCAGATTTGTCGATTCGTCGATTGCAAATATGCAATCCCTTCTCTTTGGATCTCTAATTTGAAGATTGACCTCTCCTATCGACTAGTCTCGTCCAAATTTGTGTAAATCTTTCAATCTAACGAGTTACTGAAGTTGATTATAAATAACCGAATAGAGATTTTGTTTTCAACAATGTTAGAAGAATAATTTTCTTTTTTGAAGTATATAATATTCATATACGACAAATAGAACAAATAAACTCATACACCCTCTTTACTTTCGGTGAAGTTTGAACCCTTGACCTCCTAGGAGGCCAAAGACTCACATACCTGCTAGGCCAAAGGCCCTCTGGTTAGAAGAATAATGTTGTTTAAATGAATTTTGTATGTGTCTTTGTCATTTAAGACATCTTTGTTGTTTTAATTTGTAAGACTTTTAATATAATATATGATGTAAACTTTTATATTTTGCTTGTTTATTACTATTTTGGTCGATCTATAATTGTGAAATAAATGTAACAATACCTCCAAAAAGATTAGAACGACGTTGGTTTGTACTTAATGGCGATTTCTTTGAAACCAAGTTAGGGTTAAAGATCATTGCTAGGAGAAACCTTTTCAATGCGTGATACACTGCCAAAAGCATATACAAACTTAGAACTTTGGTAGTTGATGATATTGATAGGCAATGGAAAATCAAATTTCCAACATTTTTCCATTTTTCTAAATAAAAAACGTGAAATCAGGAGCTTTTGTCGGGTCACACGGTTTAATCGTGTTTGGAGGAAGGATTTATTAAACTCTAATTAATGTTCTGAATCTCTTTTTCTCGATACACCTTTAACTGGTATTAACGTAACATTATCTAAATCGATCACGTCTTGCACCTTTTTTGCTAAAAAAATTATATGAAAATAATGATCAAAATATAATTATTAAATAATCAAAAGAAAGTTTTATGCAAAACAAATATTTGATGTCATAGAAAGATATTACCCTTTTAAGTTGTACACTTTTTAATACATAAAATATAAGTTATTATATTAAAATGTCTGTTTGTGCAGATATATCTTACTCGTTCGTTTTATTAATTCGTTCTGCAAGTCGGGGTCTTCATCGGAAGAGTCAAGTAGTCGATACAAGATTTGTGTATATTTTATCCCCCTTAGACCTTATTCTCGAATTTGAGTCGAAAAAAAGGAAACGAAATAAAATTTTATATTAGGAAAATATAAAAATGTTATCGAGAACATAGTGCACAAGGAGTTTATTGGATGCGTTTGGTTTAGTATTTTTACGGGCCATATGAATTATTAACTTTAACCATAAAGGTGGTGTCCGATTGGTTTGAGTTTGGCTCCAAAGGTCAAAAGTACCAGAAGGTTCTAGGTTCAAATCCAATGAGGAATAAAAATCCCCTTGTGGCCATAGAGATTCAAATGCGATGACTCTGAGCTATCTGCAAAACAGGTGGTTGCCTTGAGATTAGTCGGCTCGCATAGCGGGTTGGATATTCAGGTCAATGAAAAAAAAATATAAACTTTAGAAGGATAACTATGAAAATGAAACAACGGATGTGAAGAATTGCAAGGGTTACCTATCAAGAGAAAGAGATGCTTTCATGGTTTGTTCCTTTCATGGCTTTTGCTTCAAAGCAGGGTAAAAATATGTCATCTCACTTCCTTACAAAAATGGCTTCTCTTGCTCACAATTCAATATCCAAACCTTGTAATTTACAACACTCTTTGGAGTTGCAGATTTTTGATCAAATAAGAAACAAAAATGGTGGGATTTGATGAATGTCTCCCTCTTTCTCAAGCTGATCCAGTTATCTTAGAACTCAACAGACTGCACAACTTGCTCAAAGGTTCATTTATTCCACTTACTTCTGTTAACTCTCTGTTTTTTATACAACGCAAAGATAAACGGGATTATGTTACGCTCGCAGAAAATCATCAAACTAGCCATTTTTTGTAACAACACGAAATCAAGAAATAACCTCTCTCTTTCTAACGGTTATCAAACTAGCCAAGAATTTCACAATTTTTTGCTTTCGGTGATTTTCCTCTAAATTATACATATAGCAGGAGTACTTACCAGTGTTTTCTGGCCAATTTGTATCGTAGAAAAGGAGCGCGAATTGGGAATTGCTCAAACTGAAATCAAAGCGCTGAAAGCTGCTGATGTTTCGAAGGAGAAATCGTTAGAAGAGGTACAAGAAACTGTTTAGTGAGATTAAGTAATTATAAGAAAATTGGGTTTATAGGACGTCAAAAATATTAAGCATCTTATAGACTGTTTTTAGTTTATGGTTATGGGACGAAACAAATGTGAGTACTATTTAAAAGTGTTACAACAAGTTTATATGACGTTTTTTTTGGCTTTTAACAAGTTTTTAAGGACACTTCATAAAGTGTCGTATTAGTTTTTTACAGTATACTGATGCTTTATTTCAAAATTTGTCATAAAAAACTTGTTAAGACCCTAAAAGACCATCTATAAACTTATTGCAACTCACAGGCACACAAGGGTTCGATCCTATAAAGCAGACTATTAGACCACTTAAACATGTTTGGCGTCGTATAAACCTGATTTTATCATAGTGAGTTGAACGAAAACGAAAACGAATAATTCTAGCTCATGGTTGTGTTTTTCAGCTGGGAAACATGGTAGAGAAACTGGACAGCAAGATCAGAAACGCAGAAAACCTTATTGAGCAAAAGGTGAAATGATTGCCTCCCTTGGATGTTTCTGAATCTTCAATGATCTGAATAAAGTTTTTCCTAGGGGTTCCGTTCCCTTTTTCCAAAAAAAGAAATAGAATCTTCGATGATCGACTCATTTATGTGAACCTTTGAAATATGTAGAATCTGGATATCAAGAAGTTAGCAACAGAGAAGAAAGAAGCATTTGCTGCACAATTTGCAGCAGAAGCAACTCTTAGGAGGGTGCATGCAAGTCAGAAAGACGATAATTCAGTGCCAATTGAATCCATCATCGCTCCTCTAGAAGCCGACATTAGAATGAACAAAAACGAGGTACAACTTACCTCATACACACAGCTTAATGCACACAGAACAGCCCGTTTCAGATACTTTTTGTGTGCATGTTTTATTTAGCGGTGTTCTTTAATTGTTGTACCAGATTGCAGTACTGCAGGAGGATAAAAAGACTCTAGAAAGGCATGCGAAGTTGAAAGAAGCAGCATTGCTCGAAGCCGAGAGAATTCTAAGAAGTGCTTTGGAAAGAGCACTGATCGTAGAAGAGGTTCAAAATCAAAATATAGAGCTGCGAAGACAAATCGAGATCTGCCAGGCATTAATCCCTTTTCTACTTGTTGCCTAATTCTCGTTCCGTCCCAAAACAAGTGTCCGCAATCATAATTTTTTAGAAATGTGTAATTATTACACTTTTAATTAACTAAATGACAATTTTACCCTTGATACTAGAGTGAGTAAGGAATTTCTCCATCTCATAATTAAGGGTAGAATTATTTAGGGATAAAGAGAGTAGATATCAGGTGAGAATTTTGAGACCATCTAATCTCATAATACACGCATGCAGGAGGAAAACAAGATCCTAGAAAAAACAAATCGGCAAAAAGTTTTAGAGGTCGAAAAGCTAAGTGAAACCATCAAAGAACTCGAGGAAGCCATTCTAGTAGGCGGAGCTGCTGCAAATGGTATTCGTGACTACAGACGACAGATTTCGGAACTACAAGTAACTAAATCCTTTATAATTGAAACTATAGGGCAAACGCAACAGTTGCTTTAAAATAACAAAGACTTTTGCATGATCTGTTAATTAGGAGGAGAAAAGAACATTAGAAAGGGAGCTAGCAAGAGCAAATGTTTCAGCCAATCGAGTTGCGACAACGGTCGCTAACGAATGGAAGGACAAGAACGATCAGGTTATGCCGGTAAAGCAATGGTTGGAGGAAAGGAGGCTTCTGCAGGCACATATACACATACCAACCTATTTTATATTACATCATAACGAACATATAAGGTTTTTAGAGTTTAAAAAACTCATAAGAACATGCGTTCTTTTCAGGCAGAAATGCAACGGCTAAGGGACAAATTGACCATATCAGAGAGAACGGCTAAGAGTGAAGCACAACTTAAAGACAAAGTGAAACTGAGACTAAAGACACTAGAAGATGGATTAAAGCAGTCAACTTGTGGATCACCGAAACTTGAGAAATCAAATCATTTTTTTGGGATTCTATCAAGTAACGGAGGAAGGAAGAGATCCATGTCACAACCAAGAGGGGGCTCATCTACAATCTCACAGAAATCAGATGTTGACTCTCAAATAGCACATGCTTCAGGTGAAATGAGACAGGTGAATAGTGTAAATAAGAAACATGCATCTGGAGAGAATTTGTTGAAGAAAAGTTTATGGGCTTCTAGGAGTAAGGTTGTTGATGGAGGAGATGAAAAGGAGAACAATGAGATGATCCTAGAAAATACTAGTGGTATGAATCTTAATAAGTTTAAGGATGAAAGAAGTACTGTTTTAAAAGGTAGGGAAACAGCAAGTGGTGGCAGTGAAGAACGACAAGAAAGGGATTCTAGATCTTCTACAGATGATGTGGTTTCAGGGTTTTTGTACGATAGGCTTCAGAAAGAGGTGATTGGTTTAAGAAAGTTTTGTGAGATAAAAGACAACAGTTTGAACGTGAAAGATGAGGAAAACAAGGTCTTTATTCCCTCCCTCTCTCTCTCTTTATATAAACATGTGCATAACTTGGACACGTGCATAGAAACCGAAAAACATCTTCAATTACTTCAGTTTTTCATTTTTTTGGTGTTTTCCCCTGAACCTGATCCTATATATATTTATAAGTGTTCTCACAAACACATGAACATATGCCTACATCATGCTAAATGCAATCTTCATAATTTTGGCAGATGCTGATGAAGAAGGTTGAAAACTTGATAAAAGCACTAGAAGTAGAATCAAAGAAGTGGAAAAGAGAAGCAACCACAAGAGATAAGAATTCAACATCCATAAAGACAGAGGAGAACAAACCAGTCAGAAATTTAAACTCCTCCAAAAGGTACGTTCATAGCATCATTGAACTGGGAGAAAAATTGACATATGTCTTCCTTATATTCAAATGAGGTAATCGCTGATCTTTATATGCCCGAAATTAGTTTCAGCGCTGGAAAAGCATCTTGAAGGTTCACTTGATGGATAGAGTATGAAGGGATGATGCAGAACCCGTTGGGGCTTGGCAACTTATTGTGATTATTATACTGTATGCATATCATTACCATTACGATGCTGCTTAGAAATAACTTTCCATGTTTGGGAAGATCTGTAACTATTATTTCAACTTTTTGCGGGTGTTCTCTTGTAATTTATTGTGATTATTATACTTGGTGGATTGGTATTATGTTTATGCTTTATGTTATGGTTTCTTTAGCATCTTTATTATATGACCGAAAGCAGCATATAGCAATTTAGGGGAAGGATTATGAAAAGCATGGGAAACAGCAGCGAATGAAGCCTAAACCAAACTTGTATATACATGGAAAAGCTTTATTTAAATAAAAAAAGATCTACTCTTGAATAGTAGCCAGAGATGGTCGCCATTTCTGAGAGCTATGTATGTGCCAAGAAGATTTAGGATTGATATTGCGGATCTGGAAGTTCTTAGCATTTCTGACCAGAAACTCCAACTGCTTCCTAGTAACGACAACCTTAACTTTCAGGCGTTCCCTACAGCCAACATTTTCAACAACTTCCAGAGACAACTGATCATAAACCTCAGCAGGAAGAAGCTTGGCAGTCAGGTGGCCAAAATGCACCAGATCATAACCACTGATTATCTTTCTAACTTTAGTTGAGGCCTTAAACTTTTCTTCACCTCCATTAGACACTAGAACCCTCAAGTTCTTCTGAGGAGATTGCATAAGATTAAAGCAATTACCCATGGTGAAATTGATACCAAAGCTCAAGACTCTTACATGCACTCACATATAAACATATATTTATATGTAATGTTGCTTGTACAGAGGTCAACTTTTCAAGGCAGCTAAACGTGCAGACCATCATCTCACTATTGTTTAGTAATATCTATCTAATTTCTAGCCATTAAGGTTCATTTTATTGAGCGTAGACATAAGATTAAAGGATTAGATTTGACTTTAACAGGAGGAGTTTCTTAACAAGTCAAACCTCAGATGGGGATTACAATTAAATTATAGATTGACTTTTAATTTATCTTATTTAAATATCATATATTACTGTTTTTTTAATGAAAAGTCAACCATTACGCAACGACTCCAACTCTCAATGAGATGTCTATAGGTCGACTCCCTTTTAAGAGGCGTTGAAAATATTTCAAGTCAAACATGGAGCAGGCACTTTTTATATGGCTGATTGATTCATCAAGATAAGGATAGCCCTTAATGAAAGTAGAACCACTTAAGAATTCAATTATTGGAAAACCAATTAGAACATCCAATAGATACATCAGCACAAAATTTTCAAGAGCTTGAGCTAATTAAGTAAAAAAAATAGAGGGAGAACTTCACTAAAGCGAACATACTCGGGATGATAATAGTGTGTACGTTGGTCTAGTCAGCACTCAAGCAGCCGCCACTGCGTTGTCACGTCTAGCTTCCAACCACGACTTGGCAGCAACTTTTGTTGTTAAAAACCAGCCAGCCTTTTCAGGAGCCTCATGGAAAGGAGCATTTAGCTCCTTGAGATGTGATTCAAGTCCGCCTGCCAATCCTTTTTCAGAGTACTTGTGTTTCCCATGCCCAGTATTGATCCCAAGTAACGGGGGAAACTCATCGCCCTCATCCAGGGCCTTGGACAAGTCATTTATCCATATATGTAATGCGGTTAGAGCTGCTCCTAAAGAAAGACTCTTTAAATGTAAAGACCAGTTTGTAGGAGATTTCGACTGGATATCATTGTATATCTTAAGCATAAGACCCAACTCCAATAACTCACAGGCTTTCTCCAGCTGATCAAGATTGATACAAAGATCAATTAAGCAATTGCAGTATGCTTTCCTTACATCTGCCCCAACATGAGCAAGTACTTCACAAGCTTCATTCTTGAAAGTTTCATCTTCAACATTGGATTCAACGACAAGTTTCACTACGTTACCAAGCTTTGGATTAGCCTTTTCAATGCATCTGGTAAGCTTACCAAGTTCCTCTCGAGGAGTTTGTGTCATGACATTAAGAAGACAACCACAAGAGCGCTCATCTGGTGTTATATTAAGCTCTATGATTTGGTCAAATGTCCTTACAACATCATCTGTGCGATTGGATTTCCCATAGCATTGAATTAGAGATGTCAATACATATATATTTGGTTCAAAACCTGCCTCAAACATTTCTTTCAACATGGCCTCTGCCTCCGAGACTTTTCCACAGCAGGAGAATATTGTGATCAAGGATGAAAAGGTCCAACTGTCTGGTTGACAATCCTTAGATCTCTTCATGTCTTCAAATATCTCAACAGCTTCATCAACAAAACCTACATCGGCACACATTGACAAAAGGGTGTTGTAAAGAACATTAGTCAACTCCATCCCTTTCGCCTTCATCTCTTTGTACACATTCATAGCATCATCACCATAGCGAGCTTTACCATATGCACGAAGAAGAGCAGCATAGGTTGCCCAACCAGGGGTTAATCCACTACTCAGTATTTGCTGGTAGATAGATTTAACCTGCCAAGGCCTCCTGCCTCTTCCCATAGCATCCAACATAGTATTATAACAAACTAAGTTAGGCTTAACACCAAGAGCCTTCATTTCCTCAAAGACGGTCAAACACCCATCGAAATTTCCACTTGTCCCATAAATCTTGATAATTGTTGTGAAAGTCACTGCGTCAATCCGCCACTTCTCAGTTCTTGAACGGTCGTACAACTTCAATGCCATTTCCACGTTACCAACCCTCCCATAGCAATCAATCATCACCGAGTATGTAACATCATCTGGTTGGATCCCAAACCCTGGCATCCTTTCAAACCACTCCACAGCCTTACGAGGCAAAGAACTCAACCGAGCACACCCAATGATTGTTGAAAAGGTAACATTGTCAGGTGTAATACCTCTCTGAAGCATTTCACCAAACAGCTTCTCTGCACCATCCAGATCCTTACACTTTCTTAAAACCTTCAAAGTCACATTATAAAGAACAACCTCCCTATTCAATTTACATTTGTCCTGAAAGTATTTGAGCACAATAAGTGCTGTTGGAGAGTTTGACATGTTATTAAGGACGATAACACCATCTTGCTCTACTAGTTTACTGCCTAAATTACTATCCAGTATGTTGAAGACGTCTTCCTCAACCGGCAAACATGAATTCAGAGTCTCTGCTACTTTGGTGAGAGAAGTGTACCTTGAATCATATGATTTTTGCCTAAAGTGTGAAGCTTTGGTGCTTTTGGGGTTGACCCAGATAAAAGTTTTCCTTTTATCATTTGCCAATTGAGAAAGATTAGAATCTTTAGGGTGTAAGTTGTGGGTTACTTCAGAAACTGATTCTTGTAAAGAAATTTGAGTAATACGAAGCTGGGGTATTCTGGATTGAAAAACGATCGGGTAATTGAAGCTTCTCTGACTGAAGGAAATGGAAGGCGAAGAGCAGAAGCCGTATGTGTAAGCCATATTTGAATTCTTGAAAACCTTGGGGGTTTTCGATTGGGGAAAAAAGCCTTATCGGGTTCGCTCAGACACCACCAGTAAAAGTAGATAACACACTTCACTATAAGGTCACTCCGGTAACTAGCTTTGGACGGAGGTTTGTTACTTGGTTTACTGGAATTTTCTTTAGCTAATTTGCTAATCCAAATCAAAACCACATCTTATCAATTATTTTAGCTAATAAGCTTGTTTACAATGAATTCTCAATCGCAACGTCCTACCCGAGTTACAGGAAGTTGCTGTCGACAAATGCCCCATGTTCGCTTAAACCGAGATTGTTCGCCACCGTATACAAGATTTTAAAGATCCAAAATGGCATTTTCTTAAAGCTACCTAGCCGATAGTTTCACTCATATGCTATGAGATGAGTTCTCAAAACTTCTAGATAAATCGCGTCATTTTACCTTATGTTTATAAAAAAAAACCAAAATTATATATATCTATACATATAATAAATAAGTAATTTGGGTGATACGTGTTATCTTCTAGTGAGTCGATTATCTTGTTTTCTCGCTTAAACATGTATCTAGACACAATTTACATTAGTGGTTCAAATAGGCTTATTTCATTGACATTTGTCCCTCTATTCAATCAATCCCACCAAATTAGGATGTCATTCTTTTTATTTGGTGTTTTAACTCATACCCGTACAAAACGGAATTTACCTTGTTACCAAATAAGTAATTATGATAAGGTAAACAAACAGTCTGGGCTGTGAAATATTTTTTCTAGAGTTAGAGATCACTCTGAAGTCTTCTTTAGACTTAAAGGCATAGATTGGTCCCTTCTTTTCTAGACTTAGAGACAGACTCTGGTTCCTTATTTTTTAGACTTATAAGTCTGTAGACTTCAAACTTTTCTTTCAGATTTATATGCATAAAGTCTGAACCCTTTTTGTTCAGACTTAGAGACAAACTCTGATTCATTCTTTTCCAGACTTAGAAGTCTGAACACTGAACCCTTTTTATTTAGACTTTGAGGCATAAACTCTGGTTCCTTCTTTTACAGACTTAGAAGTCTGAACTCTAAAGTTTTTTTTTTCTAGAGTTACAAAATAACTAATTATGAAAAGGTAAACAAAGAGCCTGAACTCTGAAGTATTTTTCCCAGAGTTAGAGATCACTCTAAAGTCTTCTTCAAACTTAGAGGCATAGACTATAGTTCATTCTTTTTCAAACTTGGAAGTATAAGTAATTATGATAAGATAAACAAAGAGCCTTGATTGTGAAGTATTTTTTCCAAAGTTAGAGATCACTCTGAAGTCTTCTTCAGACTTAGAGGCATAGACTGGTTCATTCTTTTCCAGACTTAGAGACAGACTTTGGTTTCTTATTTTTCAGACTTAGAAGTCTGTAGACTTCAGACTTATATGCAAAAGTCTGGTTCATTCTTTTTCAGACTTAGAGGTCTGAACTATGGAAGCCCTTTTGTTCAAACTTAGACATAAACTCTGGTTCATTCTTTTCCAGACTTAGAGGTCTGCACTGTGAAGCCTTTTTGTTCAGACTTAGTCATTTAACTCTGAATTCTTATTCAGACTTCTAAGCCTGAATGAAGAAATTCTAATTAAGAAGTCTGAACTGTGAAGTCTGTAATATGTGACGTATTCTTCAGAGTTATTTCCTAGACTTAAACGAAAACTCTAAACTCTTGTGCTTCAGAGTTATTTCCCAAAGTTAGAACACAACTCTTAACTCTTGTGCTTCAGAATTATTCTCAGTTATTTTCCAGATTATAAGACAACTCAAAGTTACACTTCAGAATTATTTCCCGGACTTAGAAGTCTGAACTTTGAAGTCTTTTTTTTAGATTTAGAAAAAGAAGCCTAAAGTCTTCTTTTTCAGACTTAGAAGTCTGAACTCTGATGTCTTCTACAAGTTTGAAGAGTACAAGTATGAAGAATCATTCTTTAGAGTTAGCTCACCCGAATTTTGAAGTTTTCTTTTTTCAAACTTAGCTCATCCGAACTCTGAAGTCTGAATTCTAAAGTCTTTTTTCCAGACTTAGAAGGCTAAACTCTGATTTAGTGGGATTGATTTTATATCTTAGAGTTATTTCAAGAATATAAGTGTGAAGAGTCATTTTTTAGAGTTTTATTTCAGAGTTATTTCCAGAGTACAAGTCTGAAGAGTCATTTTTCAGAGTTAGCTCGCTCAAACTCTGAAGTCTTCTTTTCCAGACAGAGCACCATGCAAAGCCTTTGCATAGTGTATGTAGAGTCTCTGCATAGTGCATGCAGATCTTCTGTCTTGCCTATACAAAGCTCTGAAGTCTAAAGAGTTTTACTTTAGAGTTATTTCACGAGTACAAGTCTGAAGAGTTATTCTAAATTTACTTCTAAGTTTATATTCAATTTACTGATATAGTTTCATTTCTAAATTTAATTTTATTCTAGGGTTAACTTTATTTTAACTAATTATTGATATAGTTTCAATTCTAAGTTCAATTCTGAAGAGTCATTTTTCAGAGTTATTTTTCCGAGTTATACTTCAGAGTTATTTCAAGAGTACAAGTCTGAAGTAGCTTTGTAATTTCGATGATCATTCATATATGTAAGATAAGTTCCTGACATTATTTAATTTTTTCAAATTACCCCGTGTAATACACGGGATCAAATCTAGTGTGTGTGTGTATATATATATATATATATATATATGGTCATAGGTTCATTTGAGAAGATGTAAGTATTTGAAAAGTAAAGATGTGATCCTAGCCTTTAACTGTGAAACACCGAATAATTCTTTACATGGTATGCAGAAGATAGAGAGTTAGTTACTATACTTTTATAAATAGGCGGCAAAACAAGTGCATATGTGAACCCGTGTAATTCACATATGAACTAATTAACTGATTCACATATGAACTATGAGTTCACATCTGCACTATGTATGGGTTCACATATGCCCTTGTTTGCCGCATATTTATAAAAGTACAAAACTACCCTTCTATTTTTTGTTTAACCAGTCAAAGCCGCAAATCTTGACAAGTCAAAGCCGCAATCTTTGATTAATCAAACCCATAATTTTTAATCGTATGAAGGACTAGGATCACTTCTTTACTTCCCAATACTTACCACTTCTTAAATGAACCTCTTGTTAAAAGATATTTTTATATCCAATCTTGACTAACTTAACTTTGTTTGTACTTGTTTGAATAACAGATTGGGGTAGAATATGTCATTAATTACAAAGTTATTTTGGATAAAAAGAAGAAGGACCACACCTCATATATGGGAGAATTAAAAGGTCAGAGTTTTAATTCTTCAAGGACTAAACCTGCTTTTCCTGAAATATATATATATATATATATATATATATATATATATATATATATATATATATAAAGTCTCTTTTTCCTAAGAATCAACTCATAATTCATACATTTTATTTTTTGTTAAAGGATTTAGCTCTCCTTTCTCTCTATATATTCTTTACGATTGTTCTTGATACTTTGTTAGATTTTATTATCTCAAAATGTTGTAATCTGTTCATTATTTTTTATATGTTTTGTAATAAAGAGAATCTTCAATCATGTTTAAGTTTTAACATGGTATCAGAGCTTATCAGGTACGTTTTCTTTCAATAATCTCTTAGTTTCGCTTCCGTTAATCTCTTAAATCAAACAAATGATTGGTTAGAGTTTCTTGGTTCACGAGCTCGCAAGATCTCGATTACTAGATCTCACCGTGATGTTTGGTTTGCCTTTAATTCCTGTTTTTTTTCTTGTATGAATGATATGTTCGATTGGGTGTAAACAAATCTGTTTACTTTTTCATATTTGCTTTGTTTAGTATATTTGCTTCCAGATCTGTTTGTTTCACGTGTTTAAACGCTATTCATGTTACCTGGAATTTGTAGTTTCTCTATGTTTGATTCCTGTCTCTTTTCTTAAGTGACATGACTGATTGGGTGTGAACCAAAGAGATCGTTTAGATCTTTCTTTGTCCCCTTTCGAGATCGCCTTTGTTCTATGTTTTGTTTGCATGTTTAGCTTTTCAGGTCTGGTTTATCTTGTTAAAAGCAATATCTGTTGACTAAAATCTATAGTTGATCTTCTTTAAGATCTTTGTGCATGTGTTCCTTCCTTTGTTTCTGATTTGTGTTTTTTTTTCCAGATCTATTTTGTGATTCAAGTTTTTTTGTTGTTGTTTGGCTTATATTGTTCAACGTGATCGATTGGGTTGAGTCCTTATTAGATCCTTTCGATCTATTGTGGTCCCTTTTGTGATCTATCTCTTGGTTGCTTGAATATGTAGTTGTTTTAGCAAGTTTTTTTATTATGGATTTAATATCTGCTCTATTTTTTGAGTCAAGATCTGTGTCCTTCCAGATCTGGCGTTTGTTTAGCTAGAGTCTTGTTACGGCTGTTAATATCTGCTTTATATCTGAGTCAAGATTTGTGTCCTTCCAGATCTGGCATTTTGTTTAGCTAGATTCTTGTTACGGCTGTTAATATTTGCTTTATATTTGAGTCATGATCTGTGTTCTTCCAGATCTGGCATTTTGTTTAGTTCCTTTTTTTGTTGATATTGTTATTTGTTTAGTTCGTTCTTGAACCTTTTTCTAGTTCTTTATTGTCTGTTTCCTTTTAAAAAGGTTGTTGTGATTGTTGTTATCTGTTCTGTTTGCAGGAGATTGTTGTTCTTTCCTTTAACTTTTTGTTAAAGGAATTTGTGGTAAGGCATGTTGTGTGTTTTACTTTTTTTTATTGTTCTCCTTTTTTTTTGGGAATTCGAAAAGTTGGCTTGACCTAGCACGATTACAGTGTTTTAGGAATCCTGCCTCTAAGCTTTTCAGTTCTTTCCCGTGTGTTCTTTTTCTTTCTCTATGGAATCTCCATCGATTGAGCCTGTGAGTCCAGTGAAATCCAAAGTTACAAAATTAGACTTTGGAGATCCACTGTACTTACATCATAGTGACACTAGTGGAGGCTCTATTTTGTCTTTCAAGTTGAGTGGGATTAAAAATTACAGAGTTTGGTCTTGTGCTATTATATTAGTGTTAGAGACTAAAAATAAGATAGGTTT